TCTGAAGCTGTGACCAGTCGCAACCCTAGACACCCAACCCCAACCATACTGAGGATTTTGGAGGAGAGTAGTTAGTCCAACGGATCTTCTGAGTGCACAGCTTCAGAAAGAGAGATACGCATTTGCTTGTTGTAGTTAGAGGAGCCACTGACCGCGTGTAGATCTTTTCCCTGACATCTTTTTGTAGTAGTTCAGATTAGATGCAGCCTGTTTTTGTTGGTAATGATGCAGGTGCACTTTCCAACTCACATAAGCGTGTGATTCACCGTAGTTCACCAAATCTGAGGGACCAACTAAATTTTGCCAACGAATACAATGTCTGAATGTTGACCAATGCGTTTCCATTGCCATCATCACACACCTTACATGATCGCATGCATTGTTATTCGTATATATTTGCTGCCAGTATCAATTAGATACCGTTCCACCAAATAGATATACGTGACTTCACCTCACGATTAGTCATTTCAGGACTAATGACACGTGAATAATAATCAGTTTTCGCGCGCAGTAGTGTGAGTATAATGGTGGTAATTAGTGAATGGCGTTTTATATTTACCCGCTCTGGCTGTATGCGTATCTCTCAAACGCCATAGTAGTCAGTCAGATTCAATATCGTTTTTAACCATTGCTAATGAAAAAAAGTAATTGGAAATTAATGACCTTCATTATAGATCGATTGATAGCCTAAGCTGATTAGATAGGTTGTTCTAGTTGTTTTAATTATTATTAAACAAGAAGTTATTTGCAGCAAGAGGGGTCAACCCCATAGTCAATGATATACTGTAAGGTGGAAGGTATGGTTGAGGGGGGCATACAAGTGAGAATCAATTTGTTAATCCTGGTTTTGCTAATGGTAAGATTATAAGGGCTTGGAAACGTGAAGTTGGATAGAGTGTTTTCACAATTTTGCGGTCCTCGGGACAAAAAAAAATTGAAAGATAGAAGTCCGATATCTAAGGACAGAAACCTGAGAACGAGATGGGCGAGGAAAGATCAACGGAGAGAAACCCCGCTGAAGCGAGTTCGGACGAGCAGAAACCAAAATAGTAACCTTGGAAAAGAGATAACGAAGCAACTGCCCACCGATGGGAGAACAACTGCAAGTTGAAAGTTAAAAACGATTCATCGTTCAGCCCGAGAGCTTTACCTTGAACACGATCAAGGATTGAAAGAGCGGAATGCTAAACTTCATCCCATGTGTGACTGCAGTATTCGAGCATTGGGCGGATTTGAGCTTTGTATAAAAGTATAAAAGTTGCTTACGGGCAAAGAAACGCTTTGCGCGGAATAGAAAACCGACTTTGCACGCAGCGCGACAGGCGAGTGTTGAAATGAAAGTGGATCAACGGAGAGAACTTATTCATCAACCCGGGAGAGAGAGAGGGAATTTGCGGAACAAAGGGGCAGCGAGTGAAAAATCAGTTGAGGAGAATAAGGGACTAGTCTAAGAGAAACAGAGAGGAGAGAAATTTTAGAAGCATTGAAACATATTTGGTAGAACTCTATGCGGAGATGAGTTCGAAATCGGAAGCAAGAGAAGCATTACGATCGTGATCGATATTGGCAGTAGCCTATTGGGTTAGGGGGCAGGGGGTAAGAAGGAGAACAATGGAGAGTGGCATCATCGGCAAAACAGTGGATAAGATTGGATGTTTTGGTCAAAAGATCGTTGATAAATAGAAGAAAGAGGGTGGGCGAAAGTATGGAGCCTTAGGGAACACCGGTATTCACTGGAAATGGCCGAGCTGAGGAAATACTGGAGCCACAATACAAGAGATGGGTGGAATCCGAACGTGGGTAATTTCGACAGCAGCCCTTCATGCCAAACACGGTCGAAGGCCTTTGTAATAGCGAGCGACATCATGTGAGTTTCTCCGTGGTTATCGCGTGCAGTTGACCAGGAATGCAATGTGAACACCAGTAGGTCACCCGTATCGACGGGGGTCTACTAGGATGTGACGATTTTCGGGTTTCGAAAATACTGTTAATCACAAGAGATCCATGGATGGAACGGATCTCCCTGAGAAACTTCGGCGTCGTACTCATGATTGTTGACGAAATTAGCTTGTCTCAACCACAACTGACGAAAAAACCAAAACACAGCGCGTTGGTGACAACGTTTCGACCTTCTTAGATGGCCTTTTTCAAGTCGTTCTTTAGTTCATTAAAGGCTGGTTCACTGAAAACGCTGAAGCCATACGAGATGCGCCAAATGGTTTGACGATACGGGCACATCGTTTGAGTCTACTCCAATCAAAATATGATGCGGCATTTAATACAGTCACCTGCGCAGCATACGATCACCATACCCTATCATATCTCAACCAAGCTTTGCAATATCAAAATTTGTGAAAAAATATTTTTTTAAACATTCGTTGACCTGAGAATAGTCGGATAATTTGGATCTAACTCGCCTACAGCGGTATGGACAAAGGTTGTGCGTCGAGACTAAAGGACTAGGGGTAGTGGCGAAGGAATTGCGGGTTTTGGCTAAAAGAATGTGGGTCAAAGCTGAAGGATTGTGGGTTTTAGCTAAAGGACTGGGGGTAAAGGCTAATGGATTGTGGGTTTTGACTAAAGCTTGATGGGAAAAGCTGTAGTAAAGTTATTTATTGTTCCTGATTCTTTCCGTTCAGGTCTAGTTGTGCCATTTGTGGCATTAAAGCATCAGTCAAACTGGAGAGGTAAAATATGAGAACTTCACCTAAAGCATTTGGCAGAATATTTTAATTCAAAAAATAATGATCGAGCCTCGAGATCCCGACCCATTAGGAGAACGGTATTCCATCGGATAGGTTCCCATGTTCACCACGCTCCCCCCCCCCCACTCGCTTGAGCTGCTGAGCGTTTATCTAACGTTTCTGGAGCTGTGTTATCCGCAGAATCGGGTTTGTTCAACTCCTAGCTCCGAGCTAACTTCCGGTATCAGCTTGTCTTCGGACATCCTTCCCTCCTCGCCACAACAAGGTAGGTTTAGGAATTGCTCAACAACGGTTGTGGTTGCATTTTATCAGAAAGGTGAATGATGAAATTCGCTTGGCAAAACATTCACTCCTTATCATACCGGGACGCTTCGGGGACATCTCAGAGTTCTACGGTTTAGCTGTATTCTCCGAAATCCTCAGTATCGTCGGGGTTGGGTGTCTAGGGTTGCGACTGGTCACCCTGCCTCCTCTTGGCAGAGGTGTTTTCCCACCAAAGTGAGAGGACAAAAAGCCAACATCCGGGGCTATAACCGGATTGGTGGACCACTAATAGTTCACCCAGGGGAGTTGGCTAAAAGTCCGGATTCCAAACCAACCAAGAGGAGGCGTACGAACCACACACAACTTCCTGGTTGTGGCGGTGGTCACCGGCTCGATTGGGCATGGAGGTGTGCTGGGCACCTTGGAGTTTTGACCCCGTCCAAAAGGCGCCTGATCAGATGGACTGGACACCGGCCCCCCATGGATTGTGGTTTTCACACACCGCCCGCTGCCTTGCTTTGGCTACCGAAGTTCTTCGGTTTTGTATTCCTCAAGAAAATTCACTTGCTTTGGCCTAGCAACCTGACAGTATCCCGCCCACAGGCAAATCGTGGAACGTTTTTCTGTTATAAAGATTATTGTATCATGATTTGTTTGGCACACATTCTAGATTCAGACATGTGTGAAAACTTAAAAAAAAACATTATCGACTGGTTACTCGAACGATTCGGATACACTGGTTTTCCTGTCTATATATTAGAAGAAGCATGATTCAGACAAGATCCGACCTTGAGACACCACAAGGTGACACACAGTACTACCCAAAACTGGTTTGAGTGTAGAAACCCTTTGATTTTCGAGATTGATTTCGCCCCGTTTTACCCTGACGCACTAAATCAGGGTTCAGGGTGATGGTTAATTTAGTACGGCACACCCCCTCCCTCTCACACCCAATACTTCGCTGTGACAAATCATCCAACCACGTTATGACTATGAAAAACAGTGATAAGATGAGCTAGGGGAGCTGTCTGAGACAACATTACAATTACAGGTTATGCTGTATCGTGTGAAGATAACGTGTGTCTGATTAGGTGCATAGTGGTCAAGTGGGTAGTAGTATAGTTACGTTCTACTTGTGCGGTCCTGGGCTCGATCAGCCACATTGAGTCGTCTGATTCAAGCACCGGGGATGAATAGGTGAAGACAACTTGTACAGTATTCCCGAGTTTCTCAGTTCATGTNTCCTCTGTTTTGCATACGTTACAACTGTCACGCGGAAAACAGGACCCAGTACTTACCTCGGCCTCAATGAACGGGAATTCCGGATGCAGTTTCTTGCCCAGTATAGGCCAACGCATCCCGGTTAGACTGGCCATATTCGCAATATTGATTGCTTTGTCTCCATACAGCCCGGTCAGATGTCGGGCCACATCCACTTCCATCCCGTGTTCTTGCACCAGTTTGATGAACAAATTCGGTGACCAGAGATGAGCACCTTCCAACAGAAGACCTTTGGTGCGACAAGGACTTTTGGGTTGCAGACCACAGACCTTGAACAAGAAAAGAAATAGGAAATAGAGTAGTGAAAGATTAAACCAAAATCAGATGAGTGACAAGCGAGTGAGCGAACCGCAGCAGATGAGGTCATCGGTGAGTGAAACAAGAAACACACACACAAAACTGCAACAAACGAGAAGTCAATTTCCAAGACGCTTAGAGAACTAAAACAAGATGAAATCAGTGATTGCTCCGCTAAGACTGATCTTGGATTTTGTGCCATTCGCTTTATCACGCCGTGGCACAGTGGATAACGAAACTAACTGAATCCGAAGGAAAAGAATTGGCAAAATATTCTCTGAAGGATTTATTCGAATTGGTGAACCTGGCGAGTTCAGTTTGTACAATGATTAACCATGCCAGTTCGTGCACCGATTTTGTGCGCTGTCCTTTGGCTGCCCATTTGGATAAAAGTTAGGAGAAAGACAGGAAAGGTTGAAAGTAGGATCAAAGAGAAAATCAGGAATTTCAATGGACTGTGGCTGCAAAGAAACTGAGATGAAAGAACGCCACTGTTTACGACACCCAGCCATATCATTCAGTATCTCTAACCATCGGGTACGATCATCCCGAGGTCTTCAGCCACGGAGCCCAACAGGACCTATGTGACCCAATACCCTGATTAGAGTTTTCATACCCTCATGTCAGGTCTTAGCCTGATCACCCTTGGCTTTATTTAACTCACTATCTACCTCGGCAAACATCGCTCGCCGTGGCAACCTATTTGGTGACATGCGTAACACATGCTCCAACCAACGCAATCCATGGAGTTCAGTTTTTACAACCATTAACCATGCACTTTCGTGCGCCGGTTTTGGTTGCTGTCTTTTGGTTGCCCATTTGGATAAAAGAGCAAAATGTAGATTGGAATGTTGAATCAAATTGAAGCGGAAGGAGGGGAATTCATACAGAGTGGTGTTAGGAGAATAACGAGTTGAGGTCGACCACTTGCTCCAGTTGGCGACCGCGGTTACTTAAAACTCTGCATCTAACCTCAGCATTGCTTGGCCGGCTGCTCCAATGCTGCGTGAACTTGATAGAATCACTACAGGTCAGAAACAGCTACATATTCTTGTTGTATGTTACTTTGCTACTTGCGAATGTTCTCTTAAAGTAAACAAATCTGTGCATCAAATAGTATGTCCTATTCAGACGTTATGTTGACAATGCTAATTGTGTTATTGATAATTCACATTATCCTCCAAACTAATTGGATAGTTTTAATCGGGTTAATCCGAATCTAATTTTCACGCCACAGACGGCATTTACCCGAAGAATAGCGTTTCTTGATATTTACTTATCAGACCAAATCAACTCACCCATTACAGGTGAAGGAAAACCCAAGTACGGAGGTGACTTCTCTTTGTGTCTACCAGTTTACCTGCTCCCGTGGTGCAAGTCATATGGATCGCACCACCAGACGCCTCGCGGATCGGATGAGAGAACACCACCCAGCTTGCCTAAGTCCGGGAACGAGAATGGCAGGCGCGAGTGCAGTTCCTATACATCTGGCCGAGGCGAATCGTACCGTGGATGGGCGGGAATTGTTTCATCCAATTTATTCAATGACAGGGGTCCGATCTAAGAATGTTACACTCTCGTGGTCACATGTCCGAAGTGCCCTTGCTCAATATTCCAGTCAAAACGTCACCAATTCAGCGGTCAGTGTTCTTCTTCTTCAAGTCAAGTCAAGTTGGAGCACCCACTTCCCAACCCCTCGGATCCCATTTTGCACGCGGTAAAAACCTGAATTGCCTATCTCTTTGCGTTATTTCCTCGATTAATATCATGTGTGGTACTTGGCCAGGAGATAAAGCACCGAAAGCAAGACTGTTTATCACATCGTTGCTTTTTATAAGAATATATCGAAATGATATATATATAATGCTTGTAACCCTCGTCAACAGCCAATTGTAGTCTCAGGTTGTATATGTTTGATGCAATAATCCTGTTTAGTAGACGTTTGCAGCAAAATTAAGTACAAAAACATGCCTCCCAGCCAGTTTCGAGATCGCTCTAAACCGCTTCCCAGTTTTCCTGTTCATGTTTCCTTTGCTACGCACAGAAGACGAATTTCATTCTATAAACACCAAAATGGCTGCCCCAGGCGAAAGAGTAGCGGAATAGAGAGAAACGCGTAAAGAAACAAAAATGTATAAAAGCAAGGCAGGGAAAATTGTCGATAACTTGAAGCAATTGTAAATGTCTTATCAGCGAGCACTCATTACCACTCAGTGACGGATGTCCCTTCATTCCACTGGTTTGAATGATTCAGTTGGGGGGGATAAAGGAACATTACTATTGTTGTGAGGTACTACTCACTTGTGAGTAGTATACCAAAAGAAGCGATCAGCGGTTTCTTTCAACGACCAAAAATGAGCAAGACCTACTGGAGCAAACCGTTGTTGTTCGGTACGGTGAACACAAGAGTGTGCATCTGATAGTGGACCGTCACATTACGTATCCTGTGTGCGTGTGCACGGGAATTCTGCAACCGTGTTCCAAATGAAATATTTTGTTGTATGATTGACAATTTAACCATATCCTGACCGTCAATGGCAATACACGAATATCCTCGACCAGCACCGCCTTTTGGAATTATAATATTATTAGTGTATTGTGTCGAGTTATTCACAAAGACTGGATCTGGCAAACAACAAAAAGGTTTGAATCACATGCTGCCGTTAAAAGCCTTGAAAACCGTCGAAAAGATAGATATTGGGTGAATGTGAAACGATTGCGGTCATGTCACAGAACTGGTCCAAGACCATGCGCGAATCAATGAGTGGGACAAATACCTGGATGTAAATTACCGAGTACATGCGTGTCACGTGAATCTATGTACTTTACAGATCCGAATGAGGCATGCAAACTGATGCATTTTTTCGTATTTCGAAGCGGTTCAGTGATTCGATAGATCTGAGGGAACGCTGTGCGCTTGACAGTACATTGTATGATGGATGATTCAAGGAGATGAGTATGGTTTTGCATTGTTGTTTGCATAATCAGGAAAATCCGCATACAGAATTCTATTCTCATTTGAAAGAAAACTCATGAGTAAATGACCAGATCAAACAATGGTTTATTCCCCTCCCCCCAAAGCTACAATCTTCTTCCTGATTTGGTCATCGAAATCAAGAATAAAATAGTTTCAGGACCGCTCACCCACTGGCGGCCACTGACCACAGACTTAACCTGACACTCAGGAGAAATATAAAATGTTTATTTTTCTCAATCCGGAGAAACGGCTTAGATTTAAATCAGGATAAACTTTAGACAGTCAAGGGTTGAGATTCCAAAAGCGTGAACTCAGTAAGGGCTCACGTGNNNGGAAAGGTTGTTCCTTAATACAAAAAACTCCAAATATCCCTAAATAATGGCATCATAGATTGACCCCCTTTAATCTGCATGCAAATCCCTCGTCCTGGTTGCTATCGATTATCGGTCGTGAAACTGTGTTCATAATTATAGTCTGTAGTTTTATACTTGCGTTATGCTTTCTCCGGTTCTATGTGTCATTTCACATGTGAGCGATTATCACCAGCACGATTCCTCAGAGTGCTTTCACAGAAGTCCCATCCTGAAAACAAACCCCGATTAGGAACTTCAGGTAACGGGGAGACCGGATCACATAGGTTCCCTGGATGGGGACCCCGGGTAACTAGATAACTAGGGGTTCGGGACACTGAATGATATGGTTGGGTGTGGCAAACAGTGGTGCTTGTGCATTTACTGATTAATCTTGCACCTGCAGTCTATATGAGTTCCCTATCTCTCCCCCTAGACTCTGCGCTCAACATTCCAATCTTCATTCTGCTCTTTTATCCAAATGGGCGGCCAAAAAAGCAACAAACCAAACCAGTGCATTTAAATGCATGGCTGATGGTTGTAAAAATTCAAACTAAAACCTCAGGTGATTTGTCAAATTCTGATCGAACGACCGGGGATAATAGCCAAACATTTTCCTTGAACG